CTCAGGGCCCTCTTGGGCCCTCTCGAGGCCGCCTAGCCCTCAGACGCCGCAAAGCCCCCATCCATGCGCGTCTCAAGACCCCACGCGATCGGCGTCGAGACTCTCCCGCACAGCCCCGAGAGTCCCAGGAAATCACGACAGGCCCCCTTAATGCATCGAAGGTCTGCAGACCAGGACTCCGACGACCGCATTTGCTCGAGCCGCTGGTCCGCAGACCTCTCGAACTCCTTCTCCGAAACTGGCGGTTCATCCAAAGCGATTTTTACTGTCCTGGAGCCCAGAAGCGTTCTCCAATCGCCGAAACTTACGGAACAACCCCGGCGCGATTTCTCGAGTCGCTGAAGTCAGGGGCCCCCCTTTTGCCAGGCGCCCGAGGGTCCCTCAAGAGTCCCTGGGGCGCCCCTCATGCAACTGCTAAGAGATCATGCTGTTCTTCCTCGTCTTGCTCCTCGTTTCTTCTGTCGCGTGAGCGTGCCGCCTCATGTCCATCGACCCTCGCGGGGCCCCCCCGCATAGATCTGTGAATATGTGTATACCGATATACAGGTATACGAGAATGTGTCTCAAAAGACACACTTATTCCTCTTCCAGTGATCTGCCGACGCCTCAGCGCAACCCCGCGGTCTGCCCGAGGGTAAGTTGCGCAAGGCAGCCCTGGACGTCAACTGGCACTAATATTCGTTTTCCTTCTCCTCGTCCTCCTCCTCCTCATCATCAGCATCATCGGCATCATCATCATCATCATCATCATCATCATCATCATCATCATCATCATCATCATCATCATCATCATCATCACCATCACCATCAGCACCATCACCATTAGAATAATAATCAGCAACATCATAAACATGATCATCATCGTCATCATCATCATCATCATCATCATCATCATCATCGTCGTCGTCGTCGTCGTCATCATCATCACCGTCGTCAGCATCATCAGCAGCAGCCTTACCATCATCATTACCATCATCAACATCATCAGCATCAACAGCATCAGCATGGCCATCATCATCCTCGTAACCATAGTCATCAGAACCATCATCCTGACCCTGCCTACTTGTCCATATCCTCTACGTTATCATACGTTACTTTCTAAAATTCCTTATCTGCCTCTTCTTCCACCTTCCCCTACAGGCAACAATGTCGCATGAAACCGTGACACTTTTTACTTTGCGCGCTTCTTCGGCCGATGCTGTGGCGCTTCATGTTCAGAATAGTTCGCATCGCTGTCGGAGCTCTGCCTCTTTGCCTGCTTCGTGAACTTGCTCCCTTTGTTTTTGGCGCTCACGACTGGCGCGACAACTTCGGCCCAGGCTGGCAGCGCATATGCTCGCTCCTCCAGATGCGATAGCCGCGGCTTGTTCCGCTTGTACATCACGTGCAGCAGAGCAGCCTTGGACCGAGAGTTCCTTTGCAACTCACCTTCAGAGGGACGTACCACTTCGTCGTCCTCCAGCGACGGCCCATCGGGCAGAGAAGGCGCATCGGGTTGCTGCTCGTACCATTTGAGCAAGGGCTCGTTCTCCCTGACTGCCTGAAGGGAACGGAAGACCTCATCCACAATACGACGCTCTGAAAATTTCCAAGTGATTAATCCGATGCGCCCACCTTCGCCCACCAGTTTGTAGGCAGCCCACATGCCCTTCCTCATCTCTCCAAACTCATCGTTCAAGTGAATTCTCAACGCCTGAAAGGTCATCTTGGCAGGATGCATGACCTGCCCTGAGGTCTCCTTGCCCTTGGCACGAGCAACAAGTTCTGCAAAAGGCTTCGTGCGCGTTGGCAGCTCGCCGCGCGACCGAGCCAAGCAGATCGCATCAGCTATGCGTCTGGACGCGTGACCTGCAACTGTTTCCTCACCGTACTCGTCGATGATCTGGGCCAATTCAGAATGAGGGACCCGCATCAAAAATTCTGACGCCGGAACACCCTTGGATGTATCAAATCTCAAATCCAAATCCCCATCGGCCTCAGGTCGGAATCCACGACCGGTATCATCAAATTGCGGAGACGAGATGCCAACGTCGAGGAACACTCCCGCAACGGAGCCTGATTTCACACCGACAGTCTTGAGGACTTTCCTCATGGAGCTAAATGGTGCGTGGTGAATAGTGAATCGCGAATCCTTTTCCATCAACTCCTTGCCAACCTTGATAGCCTCTGGGTCCATGTCGAAGGCATGCAGCTTTCCTGTGGGTGACATTGCAGCCAACATCGCCTTAGAATGGCCACCGCGTCCGAACGTGCCATCCACATAAATACCGCCAGTATCTGGAGCCACCATCTTTTGGACCTTAGTGGGCCCCAGAATAGGTAGGGATGCGCTGCAATCACAAAAACTACTTCAAAACTAGAATCGGATCTGGAATTGCCGAATACAGAAGCATATACAAAGCATCAGGTTCGGACATGTACTAAAAAACTTGTTCTAACGTACCTGCACCGCTGCAAACCATGTGAATCAGACCAAGGGGGTATTCGAGTAGCGAATCGGAATGACTGCTTGCTGGGGGGGCCTGCATCGGAAACACTGAACAATTAGAGGGGGAAAGAACCACCCGCCCAACGAGCACTCCAACAGCCTAGACCGTCTTGCAAACGCAAACAAGTAAGGAAACGAATGGGATAGGGCAACTTGGTATAAAAACAAGAAAGCTGGGTAAACGCCAGTCCTGGGGTCGGAGCGAAAGTCCGTATTGGGCCCCCCCTGGTGGCCACCAGGCTGCGAAGAGCAAGTCTCTGCACTCTGCGAGAAGGCCTCAGCTTCTCGATGCTGGTCCCAGTTCAACGCTCCAAGGTTGCTGATCTTGTTATGAAGCATTGCTCCTCGCTCCAAGGTTGGAGGGCTGCAGAACGCGCGACCCCTCAAGCCGAAAATAATCCCTCCACAACCCCAGACAACGCCTCCTCGGAAGTGTCGTGTGCCCTGGAACTCGAAGAATATTAGGAGCGCGCGCTCCCGATGACACAAACCCTCGTACATCACGACGCGCTCGCGCTCCCGAGGCCACAACCCCTAAAGTTCCACCACACTCGCGCACTCGAGGCCACCTTCCCCAGCCCAGTAAATTGCAACAAGTTTGCGCTCCCGACATCACTGCCCCGTGTGAACTACAAGGCGTTCGCACCCCCGAAGCTTCTACCCTCCTGCAAACCAAAACACACTCGCGCTGCTGAACCAAGAACCACATGCAAATTACGACGTATTCGCGCCCCCGAGGCCGCACCCCGTTGTAAATTACAACGCTCTCTAGCTCCTGGGGCCAAAGCCCTTACTAAATTCAAGCAATGTCGGGCCCCAGAAACACTAACCTCTGGAAAAAATGCAACGCGTTCGCGCTCCCGATGCCACGGTCCATATAAGTTACGACGCGCTCGCGCCCCCGACGGCACAACCCCTCGCAGAGTACGCCACATTAGGGGTCCCGAGGCCAAAACCTCTTGCACATTGCAACGCTCTCGCTCTCCCGAGGCTAAAGCAAATTACAACGCTGTCGCGCTCCCGATGCAATAATCTCTTCGAAATTAAGACACGCTCTCGCGCCTGAAGCCACAGCCTGTTGTGCAAAGTACGACGCGCTCGCGTTCCCGAGGCCACAATTCTTTTAGCATTACCACAAGCTCGCGGTCCCGAAGCCACAACCCCTCGTACATTATAACGCTTCTGCGCTCCCGGGGCAACAGTCCTTCACACACTACAATTAATGTTGTCGCGCGCTCCCAAGTCCACACCCCCTGACGAATCTCAGCAACTTCGTGTTCTGGAGGCCAGAATCCAATTTAAGCTACTACAATGTCGCGGTCCCGAAGAAACACCCCTAAATTGAAAAAACAAATCGCTCTTCCCAGGACACGCTCCCTACTAATTTACAACGAGCTAACATTTCCGAGGCCACTACCATGGGCAAATCACAACAGATTCGCGACACACTCGCGCCCCCGATGCCGCAATCAGTTCTGTAAATTACGACACGCGTGATCCCGACGCAAACATGCCTCGGAAATGAACGAGAAACAAAAAAAAACGCGCCCCGGACATCCCTCATGAATCACGTTACAGACGCGCGTAACCGTCCAGCCAGCACGCCGCCAAAACAAACTGCCAAACATCAATTTGGACAGCAAGCCAACCAGCCAAGCTGCCAGCTAGCCAACCGATAAGAGCACAACCCACACAGCCTGCCAAGCGTGGCCATGCAGGCAATATCAGGGAGGCCGGCGGCACAGGGCGAAGCCCTTAGGATATGGCAGGTTCAACAAATCCTAAACCAAACAAGCCTTGCCATCTCTCGGGAGGCCGATGTTTACTTCCGCTGGCTTTCGCCGAGCTTCCGCCGGCGGAAGCGGCCTCGCTTTGCTTCCGCCGCCTTCCGCCGAGCGGGAGATATCAGCACCCTTCGATCCTCGCAGGGAAGAGGCCCTTCCTCGAATGCCTCCTGCGATGAGGCAACGCGGCTCGGCAAGCGCGCCCACCACGATCCGGAGGTCGGCCGGCCGCTCCGCAGGACGCCCCCGGGCAGCGCAGCGCGGGCCCTCGGCCGGCAGCGCGCAGGTGCCGCTGGCGGGTCCTCGGTCGCTGGGCCCTGCGGCGCCCGAGCCTCGACGCCGGCGGCGATCGCGGGGGGGGCGCTCGCGGGGCACGCGCGGGTGTGCGGGCCCCTCCAGCGGCCCAGGCCGGGCCGAGGTCGGCGCGTCCTCCTGGACCGCCGACCCCAGCAGCCCCGATGTGGTGGAAGCGGCAGGTGTCTCGGCCAGCGCCCGCATGCTGCCTCGCGGTTGCACACTGCCTGGTGCGTCCGCCGTGCGATTTCGCGAGGGAACAAAAGCACAGAAGAGATCAAACTCACGAATCGGGAGGTTTGCACGACATCTCGAGGCTCGATTCTCGAAGATCGCACGGATTCGTGGTCGTTTCGCTGATCTGGAGTCCTGGAAATCCTGCGAGACCTAAAGCCTCAGTGCATTTCAAAATTTCGCGTGGGACTATGCGACTGCAAGCTGCACTAAGATCCAAGGAGGAGACGAGCCATGATGAACCCACTTCCCCTCAGCCCCTCCCGAGGCATTCCCGGGGTCCCCATGGCCTCGCAGGACTTCCCAAGGCCTCCTGAGGCCTCCGAGGTGGCTCCGAAGACTGCCCCCATGGGAACAAGAATGAACAAAACCAGCCAGCCCTGTCTGGCGCCGAGCAGACCCCTTCAAGCATGCACCCAGTGCACGGTTTCCCCGGGGCAACAGGCGACCCGAGGAGGAGGAGGAGGAGGAGGTGGAGGCGGGGGAGGGAGAGGAGGAGATGCAGGAGTAGGAGCAGGAAGGAGGGGGAGGGGAGGAGGAGGAGGAGGGGAGGAGGAGGAGGAGGAGGAGGAGGAGGAGGAGAGGAGGAGGAGGAGAGGAGGAGGAGGAGGAGGAGGAGGAGGAGGAGGAGGAGGAGGAAGGAGGAGGAGGAGGAAGAGGAGGAGGAGGAGGAGGAGGAAAAGGAGGAGGATGAGGAGGAGAAAAAGAAGCAGGAGGAGGAGGAGGAGGAGAAGGAGAAGGAGGAGGAGGAGGAGGAGGAGGAGGACGAGGAGGAAGAGGAGGACGAGGAGGAGGACGGGTCGCCTAAGCCCTTCGGAGAAACCCTCCAGCCCCCAGAGGCCCAAACACTGGCGATTCGGGGAACGGCCCACAGGCTTCTGGGAGGCCCAGCGGGGGCCCAACGACGCCCCAGGACAGCCCATATGACTGCCCTGGGAACTCACACAACAGACAAGGGCCCACGGACGTTCCCAGCCCGACCGCCCCCAAACCACGACCCAGCGTGCAGTTCAACCCCTCGGCCAGCTGCATATGGGGCCAACGACTGCAACTAGCTGCAAGAGGATGTAATGCCGCGCTCGTCGTGGCAGAGCACGGGCGGACGCACGCTGGGAACGCCCTTCTGGGAGGAGAGGCGGGCCGCCTGGCGCGACATGCACGGGGCGACCCCGGGCCAGGAAGCCGCCGCGGGGAGGCCGCAAGGCAGACCGCAAGGCACTGCCGGGGTGGAAATTCAGGAGAGACAAAAGTACCACTACCACCAGCTAGGGGAGTGGCCGCTCCCTCCCCTCGAGCTGGTGGCACCTCCTTCAGGGCACTCTATGGAGGCATGCCCTGAACGAGGTGCCACCAGCTCGAAGCGGTGGGACAACCACCCCCCTAGCTGGTGGTAGTAGTACTTTTGTCTCTGGTGAGAAATGACAAACTCCTTACACCAGAGGAAAGCCGCAATCAGTGGATGGTTCTCGCTGAGGAGATCGACCGGGAACCCGGGAGCCCGGAAACCCAGAACCCACCGAAATCGGCCCGGAACCAACAACCGGGAACATGGGAGTCTGGAACCGGAAGCCCGGGGACCCAGCCTGCTACCAAAGCCGGCTCGAGACTGTCGCCAAATCTTTCAGCTTCAGCTCGGACCCCTTCAGTGCAAGCACTGATTGGGGAATTGTCAGCAACTTCGGACCGATTCCAGGGCCAACTAGGTTCCGAACCGTCTCCTCGCAGAGCGCCGGTATGTGCTTGCCGAAAAGCTCGGCGCCGGCATTCTTGTTCGCGGCGTGCACGTGGATGATCCGCGACCCGAACTTGCAGCCGGACCAGCTGATGGCCTCCGTGGCTGCAGCTTGGCTGTCGAAGGTGACGAAGGCAAAGCCCCTCCCGGGTAGGAAGCGGGGTGTGCCAACGATGCTCCCGGCGTCTGAAAAGAAATCAACGAGCTGTTTCGGCGTCGTGTTCTCCTGCAAGTTTCTGATGATCGGGCTGGGCGAAAGGGGGGGATAGCCAAGGGGGGGGGGGGAGAATCAGCTCACGCATGCTGCTTTTCCCGGCGCCTCCCGGCGCCGGAGGCGGCCACACCTCGAGGAATGGGCCCGGCGGCGGGACCGAAACGGGCTGCATGCAGCAGACTTCGTAGCCCCCCCCTTCCCCTATATCCCCCCCTATCGTCCGGCCCGAGATGAGGATGTCATACCCCTTCTTGCCCTTCCCCCCGGCTTTCATCGCCGAGGCGGGCTGGGCCGCCCGCGGCGGCGCTCGCCGGGCCGACGGGCACGACGGGCGGCACCCTCGCGCCAGAGAGGCTGCGTCTGTGTCACTCGCCGTGGTGGCGAAGGCTGGCCCGCCACCCCCTCCCGGCCACGTCTTGCCGCATCGCCGACGCATCCTGGACTCAAACTGATCCTCCTCCTCCTCCCCCTCCTCCTCCTCCTCCTCCTCCTCCTCCTCCGCCTCCTCCGCCTCCTCCTCCGCCTCCTCCTCCTCCTCCTCCCCCTCCTCCTGCTCCTCCTCCTCCTCTCCTCCTCCTCCTCCTCCTCCTCCTCCTCCTCCTCCTCCTCCTCCTCCTCCTCCTTTCGGCTACTCCTCCTTCCTCCTCCTCCTCCTCCTTCTCCTCCTCCTCCTCCGACAGTGACGAAGACGAGGACGAGGACGACCGTGACAACGACGACGAGACTCCAGTTGCCAAACTTCATGACGGAGAAG